AAAGCCTTTTCATTTACTCTTATTTATTATTTTATTTTATTTTATTTTATTTTATTTTATTTTATTTTATTTTTAGTGTTTTGAGACCATGTCTCACTGTGTAGCCCTGCCTGGCTTGAAATTCTCTGCGTACACCAGGCTGGCTTCAGTGTCACAGAGATCCATCCTGCCTCTGCCTCTGGAGTGCTGGGATTAAAGGTGTGAGCCACCATGCTCAGCAGTCTTAGGTTTTGGGTTTATTAGTATTATTTTCAGTTGATTAAAATTTTCTTTTAACTTCACATATTTAAGGAACACCTAACTTCAGCTCTTCCTTCTTGACAGTGGTGTTTAGGAGGTCTTCTATGTTGCCACCATAGGAGAAATAGAAAGATACGAGAATACAACGTCAAGTGGTCAGTTTTGGAAATATGGAGCAGCTTTGTTGAACTCGCATATAATTTCTAAAGATTGATGGTTCTTTGGAACTCCCTGAGGCAGCAGCACCTCTTATTGGCCTTCTTGATGATGACGTGAAGCTTAGATATATAATCTTCCATAAATTCTGTATTGTGGCATGATTATATAACATATCTTTGCAGCTGTTCAGTGTGAAAGAAAACCCATTGAAGTCTCACGAGAAAAATCTTCTAACTGTGCGGCTTCAACAGAGAAAATCTACATCCGGAAAGACCTTCGAAGCCCATTGGCTGCAACGCCTACGTTTGTAACAGACAGCGAGACTGCGAGGTACAGCGGAGCAGGCATTAAGCAGCTGGTCGTCTGCTTTTCCTCCCAGTGGAAACAAGACTAAAATTTGTACTTCATTTGTCATGCAGGTCAGCAGGACTGTTGGATTCAGGAATGTTCGTGAATCTTCATCAGTCTGGAATAAAAACCGAGTCAGCTGTGCTAATGACGCCAGATAAGGTATGTATTGCAATTTACCTACTTACTTTAATTCATGGGTACGTGTGTGTATGAGCATATGCCACGTGTGTGCAGGTACCCTCAGAGCTGGAGCTACATTATAGGCAGTTGTAAGCTGCCTGATGTGGATGCTGGAAACTGAACTCTCATCCTATGGTAAGAGCAGCAATTGCTCTTAACTGCTGGGGCATTTCTTCAGCCCTGTAGTGCAATTTAAAGACCTTTAAAAAATTTTTTTATTTTTGGTGGTGCTGGAGAGTGAACTGTTGGCCCCTTGCACTAATCCCTATCTTGAATGCTAAAATTGCTTGATATGGTGTTTCTAATATTCCACTAGAATTTTTTCTTTAAACATGATAGCAATAAGCATTTAAAAATCTTCCCAGTTTCTTTTCTCTCATCTTGAAGTAAGAGTTATCAGAAAATTCATTTATATTAAGTACAAGTCAGGCATGGTACACTGCCTGTAATCCCAGAAATTTGGGAGCTAAGGCAGGCTAATGGCTGCAAATTGAGGCTACCTGATCTGCATAGGAATTTGAAGGCCAGCCTATGCTATATTCGGAAACCCTATCTCAAAAAATAATAATATTACAGAATTCCTACCTGTATTTGACTTACTTTCCCTTCTAGATTTATTAATGCCAAAATACTTCAAGTAAAGAGAAATTCTTAGCATATATGGGACATTTGAGTCATGGGATTATAGCCAGCTGCATGCCTGCTCATCATTTAAATGGGTTCTAGGAATCAGAGAAAGAATAAGATTGCCAGAGGTTTCAGATTACACGTTCTAGTCATCCGGAGTACCTTGAGAATGAAAGAGCTCTTCATTTGGCAAAGGGTCTAAAGGAGGAAAGATACTGCGTGTGTGTACACGTGTGTGTGTGTCTGTGTGTCTGTGTCTGTGTCTGTCTGTGTCTGTGTGATGTGTATATGAGTGGGGTACAGAGGCCAAACTCTCGTAAGATGCCCTGCTCTATTACTCTCTCCTTTATTCCCTTGAAATAGGGTCTCACTGAACCTGGAGCATGCTGTTTCTTTACTTAGGCTGGCAGCCAGCAGCAGTTCCCCTGTCTACCCTTCCCCCAGTGCTAAGGTTATGGCCATGCCTGGCTTTTTATGTGGGTGGTTGTCAGATCTTCATGCTTGTGTAGCAAAGCACTCTTACTCACGGAGTCATCTCCCCAGCCCTAAAAGGTTTGTTTAGATAAATCATGTAAACTTCCTTATGAGAACATGAAGCAAAAAATTTTCCTTAAAAAAAGGGTTTTTTGTTTGTTTGTTTGTTTGTTTATTACATTTATTTATTGACTGTGCTTGTATGCCACAGCACACATATGGAGGTCAGGGGACAACTTTCTGGAGTCAGTTCTCTCCATCATATGGGTTCTGGGACTCAAACTCAAGTCTTCATGTGGCAAGAGCCTTTATTCATTGAGCCATCTTGCTGACCCCTGAAAAGATTTTAAGGTGCTGATGATCAGACTTCCTTTGAGCCCATAATGGAATCTGATTTTGTAGAATTCATGAGATTTGTCTTATTCATCTGTATTTGCCAAAGTTGCTATGTATTTCCCATGTAATACTTTAGGACAGGTCATCTGAAATGTCCACTCACAACCCTTTTGTATGTGATCCTTAGTATATTGGTATCTAAAATAGGTATAGGGATCAAAATTTACTCACAATAAATCATAAAGAAATTTATTTTGAAACAGTTCTTTAGTGTATATATATGATGTGTTTATTTTTGCAGAAAGAATTAAATCTAGTTGGGCATGGTGGCACACACCTTTAATCCCAGCACTCGGGAGGCAGAGGCAGGCAGATCTCTGTGAGATCAAGGCCCGTCTTGTCTATATAGCAAGTTCCAGGCCAGCTAGGGCTACGGGGAGACCCTGTAAAAAAGAATTAAATCGGGGGCTGGAGAGATGGCTCAGCGGTTTAGAACACTGGCTGTTCTTGCAGAAGACCCGAGTTCGAATCCCAGCACCCACATGACAGCTAACAACTGTCAATAACTCCAGTTCCAGGGAATCCGATGGCCTCTTCTGTCCTCTGTGGGCATTGCATGACACGGGTGCACTTACCTACATGCAGACAATACACGCATACACATAAAAATATAAAATATTAAAAAAAGAATTAAATCGTAGCTGTGTGTTTGATACTGCAGGGCAGAGAGCATATTCATTGGTTTTCACTGTTTGTTGACATTTGATTTTATAATTGTTAATACTGAGAATGCCACTTCACATCAATAAGTGGTATAAAATAGCGAAAACTTGTTATGGCTCTTTTATTCATTGTTGGAAATTCTGTTGTAATCCCAAGCCAAAATTTATTTAATGATATTTTTAAAATGAAACTCAAGGGGCTGGAGAGATGGCTCAGTGGTTAAGAGCACTGGTTGTTCTTGCAGAAGACCTGGGTTTGAATCCCAGCACCCACATGACAGCTAACAATTGTCCATAACTCCAGTTCCAGGGGTCCAACGGCCACTTCTGTCCTCTGTGGGCATTGTACGACACAGGTACACTTACCTACATGCAGGCAATACACTCATACACATAAAATAAAAGTAATAGATAAAATATTTTTTTAAATGAAACTCAAGTTAGCAACTCAAAACCATAATTTTTAAAGTCAAGCATTCTAATATAATATAGTCAAAAGATGCACTAATTTTGATTCTTACTTGTTGAGGAATGACAGTAGGAAAATGTTTTTGTTTTCCACAAGCCATTATGTCAATAAATTTAAACATTAAATACTTAAAAAACTGTGAGCTTAGAATGGTATTAATAAAGGGTCATCTGTCACCATTCCAAGTTGCTGGAGTATCCGCTCATTGCTCTGAAGGTTGTAAGCAAGGAAGGGAAATGAAGCACTGGGCTGGAGAGATGGCTCAGTGGTTAAGAGCACTGGCTGCTCTTCCAGAGGACCTGGGATTGATTCCCAGCATCCACATGGCAGCTAACAACTGTCCATTTCTAGGGATACAGTGTCCTCTTCTGGCCTCCGTGGGCATTGAATGCACATGGTACACTCTTTCATGCAGTCAAAACACTGATACACATAAAACAAAAATGCATGAATAAATAAAAATAAATCTTAGTTTTGAAAGTTTTAGCAATATCAGATCTTTTCTGCTAAGAAGAACTTGAATGATCACATAATTTAGTATCTTTTATAGAGGAAGTAACTATGACTTGGAAAGATTAGTCATTAAGTATCATTTTTTTTTTTTTTTGGGTCTTTTTGAAACAGTCTCCCTGTAGCTCCAGCTGTCCTGGAACTCACTATGTAGACCAGGCTGGCCTTGAACTCACAGAGATCCACCTGCCTCTGCCTCCCGAGTGCTGGGATTAAAGGCGTGCACCACCTAAGTATCATATTTTTAAACATAAATATTTCCTTAAAAATTATACCTGTTTTTAAGGTCTAGAGAGATAGCTCAGCAGTTAAGAACACTGACTGTTCTTGCAGAAGACCTGGGTTCGAATCCAAGCACCCACATGGTAGCTAATAACTGTCTATAACTCCAGTTCCAGGGGATCTGACAGCCTTTTCTGTCCTCTGCGGGCATTGCACAACATGGGTGCACTTACCTGCATACAGGCAATATACACATACACATAAAATAAAAATAATAAAATATTTTTAAAAAATTATACCTGTTTTAAAACACATTTCCCTCAAGATTTTCTAAAAGCTCAGTACTCTGACTTTATTTTTTATGTTTGTCTTTTATTCATTTATTGCATCTTTTTGTTTATGACAGGGTCTTACTCTGTAGCCCAGGTTAGTCTGGAACTCAATATGTAGCCCAGGCTGGTCTTGAATTTGTAGAAATCCTCCTGCCTCATAGCCTCTTGAGTGCTGGTATTACAGGCCTGAACTACTGTGTTCAACAATTTAATATCATTATGCTTTCTTTTAGCATTTTGTGATCTAGACTTTGATATTTAAGATTTTAAAGTACGCCAGTACCACTTTGCAGAATTTTAGTACTTTTTTTCCCCCCAAAGGCTGAATCGTGTCAGGGAGACTTAAGCACATTGGCCAGTGTGGTCACGTCATTAGCAAATCTTGGAAAAGCTAAAGATCTTTCTCAAGGTGGCAGTGGCTTACCCATGATGGAAAGCTTAAGCAATGGTGATACATCCTTCTGTGAATTTCATCAAGATATTCCAACCAATGGTGATGTGTCAAGGTGAGGGCTATTTGATCTTGTCTTTTTAAGTTTCTTTTAGTAGAAATTAAAATGTTTTTGTATTAAATCCTATTTACAAAAATTTCTGCAAACAATATTTGTCTTGGACTTATAAATTGTAAAGCATAGTAAGGGTTAACTGAAAAAACTACATTTAGTGCAAAACATCCAATGTGTTTCATTCTAAGTAACACAAGCATTAAGTGTGTATCATAAAATTAGAGCTACAGTCTGACAAGGTGGGGTGTTTTCTTCATCTTAAGTGGTGATTGGGATCTGACATTTCATTCATAGTTTGATTGCCAGATGTTACCATCTGTGTATGTAAGTGAGACATTTTCTTCCTGGGCGGTCTTTTTGATTCCTCAACCACCTCTAATCCCTAGTGGTAAAAATAGATGTAAAAGACCTTGCAGAATTCACTACTGTTTTGAGTTATACTTAAGAAAAGTAGAAACAGAATTGGGGTTTTATTTTTGACAGTGCTAATCCTTAGAATATAGAAATGAAATTTCTTGAAACTTTTCCCATAGTTCTGTTTATTATGTAAAATAGTAAATATTGTGATGGAGGTATAACTCAGTGGCAAAGTGCTCAACTAGATTGTTCAAGGCCCTGGGTTTGACAGCACTACAAAGTAAATACTGCGGATGGGGGCGGGAGAAGAAGAGGAGGAGGAGGAACAATATTCTAGAAAGTACGTTTGAGAGTCATGATGGGGGTTGGAGAGATGGCTGAGAGTGCTTGCTGTACTTGCAAAAGACCTGAGTAGGGTTCCTATCACCCATACTGGGCTGCTCACAACCTCCTATAACTCCCATCTCCAGGGAATCTAACACTTCCCTCTGGCTTACACAAGTACCCACATACATGTGACATATGCACAAAGGCACATATACACATAAACAAAAATAAATCTTTTTGTAAAGAGTCATGAAGGGTTATTTTAAGGAACTCTAGAAAGCATATCATTTAACAATATGGGAAGCTATTTTGAGAAATCACTTGCTAACTTGCTATAATTTACTCTTTGAAATCTTAAATTCTTAACAGTTTACATTCCATTAAGTAAATGCAAGTTTTAAACTATATTCTAAATTTTTAAGTAAAAGTAAGAACCAATCCTGTTTTATGCTTGATACAGTAAAGTTGACATAAATAATTTGTATATCTAGGATTAACAAGATTTTTTTCTTCAACTAAGATTTCAAAGAGATTTTTAATTCTTTGGTAATATAGTATATGCAATTAAAACTTCTATGTGTATGAGTGTTTTGCCTACATGTGCACCCATGTTGTGCAGTGTCCATGAAGGCCGGAAGAGGGCATCTGATCCCCTGGAGCTGGAATAACAGACAGTTATTAGCTGTCATGTAGGTGTTAGGAACCAAATCCAGATCCTCTGTAAGAACCACCAATGCTCTTAACTGCTGTGCCATCTCTTCAGCACCATAATATTTCAGACTATACTTACTAAGTTTAGTTTGTTGATTTTAAAGATAATCACAGGGCTCCTTGTAATAGAGTCATACAAGAAAGTTGTGTTTTTGAAACTTGATTTGTGTGTGTATGTATATCCTTCTTCCACAGTTACAGTGGGGTTGGAGCCCAAGGCTTCATGTACAAGCCATCTGCTACTGTGCCATACCTAGCCCTATTTCCAAAAGATTTTTTTAGGCTTAAATTTTTTTCCCCTGCTCCTAGACTGAACCCAGGGCCTAATGCATGCTAGACAAATGCTCTACTATTATACTACTGAGCTATACTCATAGCCCCTTGACTTAAATCTTAACTCCAGAAGTTTTCCAGAATTTTGTATATAGTTTTCATTTTATTGTTGGAGATTGGCCAAGCTCACAGTTTCTATGTCTCCTTTAGGGCATTTGACACGCTTGCAAAAGCATTGAATCCTGGAGAAAGCACAGCCTGTCAAAGCTCAGTAGAGGGCATGGAAGGAAGCGTACACCTAATTGCTGGAGATTCAAGCATAAACTACATCGAGAAAGAGGGGCCGCTCCTCAGCGATTCACATGTAGCTTTCAGGGTATTTTTATATATTTTAAATTTTTTATGTTATTTTACTGTTTGATTTTGATCTTCTTTTCAAAAATCAAAGTATGCATGTTATGCTTTTAAAATAAAAAATATCCCAAGTAGAATTTTAAAAGTGAACCTAAAACATATATGCCCTGCATAGAAGACACGGGCTCAAGGGAGCATCCTGTTTATAAGTCAGTTATAATAGCTGTTAGTCAGTTTAAGTATAAAGAAGTTAGATTTTAGCACTAAACAGTTGTCTTTTCTTTAAGTGTGGACATCCATGATAAATTGAATGCACTGCTTTTGTTCAATGCCTGATTACTACTCTTTTTTAGTGTAAATCAGTATCTAAGACTCAAATAGTTTGCTCTTATTTAGTAATTATTGGGAACTCCATTGTATGAATAGCCTTCAGCATAATCATATGAAGCTGCAGGTTACTTGATACATTATAATGTTTGATTATTTTTAACTATTTATACTTTTTAAACACTTTGGAAAAAGTGCATTTGTAATTTATTTTGTTCTCCTACATATATTGTTTTAAGGGTCCTAGAGATGGAACCCAGGACCCTAGATATACTAGGCAAGTATTCTGCCACTGTGTAAACCCCCAACCCCAGTACATTTAAAAACTTTTTATTTTATGTTTATGAGTGTTTTGCCTAGCCAGGGGTGGTGCCGCATGCCTTTAATCCCAGCACTCAGGAGGCAGAGGCATGAGGATCTTTGTGAGTTCAAGGCCAGCCTGGAGCTCATGGAGACCCTGTCTCAAAAATACCAAAAAATAATAAATAAATAAATAACATAAATGAGTGTTTTGTCTCTATGTAAATGCACCAATATGTGTAGTGTCCACAGAGGCCTGAAGAGGGCATTGGGAACCCATGGAACTGCAGTTAGGGATGGTTGTTAGCCACCATGTGGGTGCTGGGAACCGAACCTGGGTCCTCTATAAAAGCAGCCTATGCTCTTAGCCACTGAGCCATCTCTCCAGCGGACCCCCCTCCCCCCTGTTCATTCTTTATAATGGAAGCAATACAGGTAGAGTATTAGAAACAATCCATGTGGAATACTAAGAAATTACTTTCTAATATTTGATTTGTCATTTTGTCATTCAAATAATATGTTGAGCCTATAAATATGCACAGCACTGTGACCTCATAACAGAGACCTCGTTAACACCACAGTGTTTTACTCTCTATTTGGATCCTTATTCTGCCACTTAACAAATATTAGAAAGATGTGCAAAATAATTGAATGTGCATTGATTTCACTTAGCAATACATAGCAGTTCTAGAATACCTGAAGATGATTGCTCAGATTATAAATTTATGATAAATTATAAATTGTCCTACATTTCTTAGGAAAATGTAGTCATCAAATAAGTGTCTGTATTGCCAGTAAAAATAATGAACAAAAGATAAATGTATCATAGACAAAAACAGAATATGATAAAATTTATGGTTACAAAGTTCAACTTAGTTGAAATAGCACAGAAAAAGTTCTCTGTGGCTTAATAATTGCTACAATGTCATATAGCAATTAAGTATATCAGTGAAACAAGTTTCATATAAAATTTTACCTAAGATTACAGAAAAATTAAAGTGTTTTATCTGTACTGTTCAGGAAAAGTTTTCTTGTGTGATCTAAGAAAAGTAATGAGAATAATATTCTTAAAAGTTATCACTGGAGAGCTACAGACAAGGGTGGATGATGTCAAAATGGATTTTCCCCATTGTTCTTTCATATTCTAAATCAAATACATTCTTTTGTGTTCTCAGTTTCATTTTCTGCCTTTGGAAGAAGGACAAAGTGAGACAGATATAGGAAGCAACCCAATGCCCAGAAAGGACAGAGGACTTCTTTAGAAAGCACTTGTCCAGCCTTTATCACTGATACTGGTTCTCAAATTTTTTGATTCTATGAAATAAATGCTTTGGACAGATGAATTAAACAAATCTGAACTTTGGTTTTTCTTTCGGGAACTGGTTGTTTTTCCCCTTCCAACTTTGATTTCTTATACTCTGGGTATCCAGAGAGTCAACACTGAAGTCTCTTCCCTCCTGAAGGGACAGCGGTCTCTTCTTGTCCGTAGCCCTGGGCAGAGCTTGGTTTTTCAGGGATTGTGCTTGGAGTCATTTCATGGTTAGTTCTCTCATTACCACACTCTGATCTTGAGTTTCAAGACTGACGTCTTCATTCCGATAGGTGCATTGTCTCTTAATTGCTAAGCAAAGTAGCATTTGTTCCTCTTGCACTTGTAATCTACATCATTTTCACATTCTTTCATTTGAGCTTTACCACCTTCTTTTGGGCATATTAAAGTTTCTGTTGTCACTTTATAGTTCTAATGTTTTGTTTAATGAGTTTGGGGATATGATTTTACAGCTCTCTTTCACTTGATTCTTATGAGAATAATTAAAGTAAATGGGCCTTTCTTCTTTTGAAATAAATATATGAGGCAAAAGTGAGGTGATTTTCAAAACTGTTGTGAATATTTCAGTCACAACCCTTTAGCCACCCTGCTTGTGACTCCCCTTCACTCCATAACTGGATTTTCATCATTCTCTTGCTTGAGTTTCTTCTTGCTTATTTTCATCACCATATTTCAGACCCTTAAAAAATGTTTAGCTTAAACTGTGACAGTAGTATCTTTGTGTTCTGTCTTCATCTTGTTCTAGACACTGAAACCAACATGATCTTTGTTAAAAATCAGCCTAATTATGTCACCTATTTGGCCAAGGGTATATGCAGCTGAGTGATAGAGTGCTTACCTACCTGGGTTTGATTTGAAACACTGCCAAAACATAAAAACAAATAGGGACTGGAGAGATGGTTTAGCACTTAAGAGCACTTACTACTTTCTCTTCCAGAGGCCCAAGATTCGGTTCCCAGCACCCACATGTCAGCTAACACCTGCTTAGTTCCAAGAGGATCTGACACCCTCTTTTGACTCCTCAGGCATCAGTCATGGTGCACTTACAAACATACAGACAAAACACCCATATATAAAAAAGTAAATAAAACCTTTAAAAAGGAGGAGGAGGAGGAGGAGGCCAAATGCACTTACTTACACCTATAGGGAACGACTTGAGAGGCCAAGGCAGAATAACTTGAGCCCACAAGTTTGAGAGCAGCCTGGGCAACATAAGAAGATCCTGTCACAAAAATCAGTCAATGCATTCCATAGCTTCCATTGCCCACAGGACTAGGTTCAGTCTCCAAAGTATGACATTTTAAGGCCCTCCACATTCTGATTAAATTCTCTACCCCTTCTCACATATGTCCGTTCCCTTTCTTAACCCTGTCTATAGTTCATAATATTCAGGTTTTATTTTCTTACTGAGACAACAGCGCTTAGTGTTCACAGTGATCTCTCAGTAAACAGCAACTGCTTGACTAAGCCAGGGTCATACAAATTATTAGTGAAAACTTGGGAATAGAATCCATTATTGTCTGACTCAAGCCAAGTGAGTTACTTTGAACACTTTGTTCTGGCTGTTAGATGTTGATAAGGAAACTGCTAGAAAGCTAATTGTAAAGGCAAGTAATAACTGCTGAAATAGGTTGGTCAAGTTTAGTTCTTGTCAGCATCCTTTAAAAAAATCAGCTCAATTAAATTTTTTGTAATTTGAAAAAATATATCATTCAGTTTATAAATCTAAAGATCCACAAGCATGAGTGTTGGGCAGATGGCTCAGTGGATAAGAGTGTTTGCCATGTAAGCATGAGGACCAGAGTTCAGATCCCCTAACCCATATAAATACAGAGTGGCCTTGACACACACAGAAGGCCGAGACAGAATCCCTTACCAAGCTGGCTACACCACAAAAAATAAGGAGAAAAAACTTCATGGTAGAAACTCACTTTCTATATATATATATATAGATAAAGGAATAAAAGTATATATTTTTATTAAAAGACTTGGTAAGTAAATTGTTCCAGATTACCTTTCTGATTCATAATATTAGAGATGTATTAAATATATAAAACAGGACCTTGGGGAGATGGTTCAGTGGATAAAAATCTTGCTATGCAAGTGTGAAGACTCAAGTTGAGATCCCCAACACCCACATGAAAAGTCTGGGTGGAGGTGCTTATGAGGAAGGGGCAGGATGGGTAGTTAGATTAGTCTAATCAGCAACTCCTATTCAGTGAGACACCCTGCCTTGGTAAATAAAATGGAGAGTAATGGAGAAGGCATCTGACATCAACCCCCCATCTCCACATGCATACATGCATATATGCCCACCCTCATGTGAACATGCATACATGCACAGCACACATAAACACAGAAGCAAATGTAAAGACAAAATATGAAATATTTCCATTTCTAAAATAATACAGCATGATAGCTTTTTAAAATACCAATTCCTTTAGTGTATATTGCTAATTCTTTTCTGCTTTTGTGATTAAAGTACTGGGAAGTTTTTAGTTACTACTGTTGGATAGATTAAGGCCATTTTATCTAAGTTTTTCATGTCACAAGTGTTTCATTTGTTTAGAGATAATTTAAAACCACTTGACAAAGAGTTTTGAGATTTTTGGAGACTATTTCTTTCTTTTATGGATTTTTGTTGGTTGGTTTGTTTTTGTAGTCTGAGACAGGGTCTTGCTGGGTAGCACAGGCTGGCCTAGCCAGTCAGTCAACCTGCCTCACTGTGTCATTACACTCGGCTCAAAGGGTATTGTTTCATATCATCCTTTCTCTATGCAACTGGTCATTTTTGATGATTCCCCTAATTTTTCAGGACTTTTTTCCCCTACTTACCTTAGGCAATTCTGAGCAGGTGTGATAGTATAAAATTTTTGTATGTCTACTTGTGTAGAAACAATTACACCCTAATAATTGTGTTTAAGATACATAATACTTGATTTTCTTAAGAATTGTGGGGATGCAGAGATAGCTCAATCAGTAAAGTACTTGTCACATAAGCGTGAGGACCTGGGTTCAGATCCACAGCACTCAAGTAAAAAGCCAGGCGTGCTGCACGTTCCTGTCAGCCCATCTCTGAAAAGGTGACTGCAGGAGGGTTTCTGGAGCTCACGGGCCAGCTATTCTTGCTGTTAGTACTGAGCTCCAGGTACAGTGAAAAACTGTCTCAAAAAATAAGATGGAGAGCCGGCAGCCAGATGGCTCAGGAGGTAAAATTGCATGCTCCACAGTCTGAGGGCCTGAGTTTGAGCCCTGGGACCTACAGTAGAGAGAACTGACTCCTAAAAATTGTCCCCTAATCTCTGTGGCACACATCCGCACTCATACACACAGATACACATAATAATAAAAGTAAAAAGTCATTTAAAAGTGGAGAGTGAGCTGGATAAATGGCTCAGTGGTTAGAAGACCTTGCTGTTCTTCCAGAGGTGCTGAATTTGGTTCCTAGTACCAACACTGGGTGGCTTATAACTACCTGTAACTCCATCTTTAGGAGATCTGATGCCCTCTTCTGGCCTCTTGGGGGCATCTACACACATGTGGCATATACATACACATAAATAAAATATAAATCTTTAAAAGTGGAGTGCAATAGAAGAAGATACCTAACATCTACCTCTGGCACACACACATGAACACATATCCTACACAAAAATGTTTTTTAAGAATTATTTTGTGGTTTCTATATTGTGTTTTATTTTGCTATTCCAGGAAACATTTCTCAAATGTTTAAAAGTTTTTCCTATTGGGATTTTCGATATTGTTTGGTACTAGAATAAAATCTAAGGATACCCAAGATCCTGGGTTCAATCCTGAAGAGACAATATTTTTTTTCCTTTTTTTTTTTTTTTACATAGGATTTCAATCATTAAGTGCCCTGTCTCATTACTTGGTACCATTAATAAATAGGCAAACAACCTGGGGGTATAGCTTAATCAATACAGCACTTGGCTAGTGTGCAGAATGCCCTAAAGTTGATTCTCAGCACTACAGGAAAATATATGTGCTTAGCATGCTTGAAGTCCCACATCCTATCCCAATACCACAAAGAAAAATTTAAAAAGTATTAGGTAAACATTGTGGCTAATTTTGAACAAAGACAATTATGGTTTTTACATTTTTTATTAGCATTTCTAGAGAACCTTGATATCATTTTGGTGAAAACTTTCTGATGTGTTTGTTGCCATAAAGGCCTTTGCAAATCTAATCAAAGCTGTATATTCCCTATAAAAATACATAGGAGGGCCAGAAAGATAAAGTACTTACCTTATAAGCCCAAGAACCTAAGTTTGAGTCCCAGAACCCATGTGGGGGGAAAAAAAGCAGACCGTGGTGCTAGCTACATGCTTGTAATCCTAGCCTTGCACTGCAAGGACAGATTGGCTTCCCTGGGCTCCCCAGCCAGCCAACTCAGCCTACTTGGTGAGCTCCAGGCTAGGGACAGGCTAGTCTCAACAAAAAGATGAATGGTGTGACGCAAGAGTTTTTGCCCTTTAGCCTCCATTTGCATTCCATATGTGTGTAGGAACACACAGAAAAGAAAATACATAGGGACACACTATGTAGCCTACTCCATAAATAGCTAATATTAACTGTCTAGTGTTATTCCGCCTCTTTGTGTGCATGTGTACATAAGACATACTCTTTAGCATAAACTGGATCATCTACATTTATTTTGCAGTATTTCCACTTAAGTGTCTAGGACGGTTTTTTGTGTTTGTTTTAGGGAAGTCTTGCTTTATAGCCCAGACTACTTAGAACTTGCTATGTAGACCCAACTGACCTCAAGCTTGTGATCCTCCTGCCTCATCCTCCCAAGGACTGGGATTACAGGTGTTCCTCATCATACCTGCAGATGGCTTTCTACATCATTTCTATTTTTCTTACTCATTTATACCTCTAAAATAGTTTGTAGTGTACATTATTCTTTTTTGCTAGCAATGGAAATTTTGGTTGTCACCAGCATTTAATTTCACTGTTAGAAGCAGAGCTACAATGAGCATTCTTAATGTGTGACTCTTTGTGCATGTGCGCAAGTATTTTTCTAGAATAAATTTAGCAGTGATATTACATGTAGAGATCCCCTCATTCAGTAATGCTTGAGACTAAAAGTGTTTCAGAAGTGTTCCTTTACTGCTTGAGCATTGTTAATTCAAAAATCTAAGATGAGTCAAATGTCTGAGATGTTGAGTGTTGATCCTCAAAATGTTTCCTATTTGAGATTTTTGGATTAAGGTTGCTCAACGTCTTAGGTCACAGGACACTCTCAGTTTTTCAATTCAGATAGGTAATAGCCAAACTGCCTCCAGGTTAAGCACTGTCAGTAGTTGTGAGTACTCCATTCCCTAGATCTTCACTGTACTCCATATTGGTGGTTGAAAATAGAAGTAAGAAAAAGATTCTAATGTATTTCACATATAGCAGTATAAGTTCTCCTTAAGATTTTCAGAATGCTTTCAAAAATAGTTTGATGCAGAATTTATTTTCACATTGGTCAGCCATTAAAACAACTATGTAAAGTCAGTAATACAAATGGACAGCCTGCAAGTTGTTTGTCTATGTATATATTTTACCTGTAGAATATTTTTATGTACTTTTGTATTTAGTAAGAATATTTTTAAGATAGGGTGATAGTATACAGACTGTGTTTTTTATAGAATTGAAGGAGTATCAGTGTTGAGCCCTAATTCTCATATGTTTTGTTGTGCTGAGTTCAAGTCACAGCTGTGCCCAATGTCTGGGAACATGCCCTCCTAAGTCAATACCAGCATGCCTCCTATACACTCCTGCCTCTGTAAGCATAACTGCAGCCTAAATAAAGGAACCTTCAGCATTACTGGATTGCTCCTAAAACTGAAATTTATTGGGTATACCACTGTTGGAGGAGAGAGAGAAGGAAGCAAAAAAACCTACTGACAAATCAAAATAGTAACTTTTTAAGTATTATAATATCATGGTTGATAATAATTTGGTGAGATTCAGTTTGAATATTACTTTGATAGAAATTGTCATCTGCTTATTTCTTCTAAGTACTAGTGTTAGCAACACTGCTAATGGCCATGAATTACTTCAGTGTGGGCTATTGGGGGGTGAAGATACTGGGCTCGTATTTGACGTATTATGTTTATATTCAAGTTTTTCAAAGAACTGATGATTTAGAACTTTGAGTCATTAAGATAATTTACCTAAATCCCTGTTCATACTAGCTCACCATGCCTTCTCCTATGCCTGAGTACCTGAATGTGCACTACATTGGGGAGTCGGCCTCCAGACTGCTGTTCTTATCAATGCACTGGGCACTTTCCATTCCTTCTTTCCAGGCACTAGGGTGAGTGTTTTGAAGTCCTTGAATATAAATGTGATTTTTGTAGCACGAATACATTTAAAGAAGAAGTTTGTTTGTATAGGATTTGTATTACAGTAGAAAAAATAAGTAGAAAAATGACAAATCATGGCAGCTAACTACTATTTTCTTGTGTGTGTGTGTGTGTGTGTGTGTGTGTGTGTGTGTGTAAGAGTATCCATGTTTCATAGTTTGAACAAGTTAACAATCTGACTAAATTAGTATAGAATTAGAATATAGTAAGAATATAGTAAGTGGATAATATAGTAAGAATATAGTAAGAATATAGTAAGTGGAGTGACAAACCATGACCAACATTGCTAATGGCCATTCTTGATTGGCTAAAAGATAGGAATGTCTTAGGACTCAGGCATCTCCAGCCCCATAGCCCATAAGAATTTTTTTTTGGATGATATATTTCATTTATTCCTTTATTGTAACTTGACTGCGTGATCTTCAACCAGGAACTTTGTAGCTGGTGACATCATGTGCGGTGTCAAAAGGCTGGACACAGCTCCTGGGTTGTTGTTTCCACTCACGGCCATTGTTTTAATTTCCATCCTAGGAGTGGCATTCAGGAGCTGAGATTTGCCTATACTGGTTATGTTTAATATTAAAGATTGCTGTTTTCCAATCATTTAGTTCCCTCCCCATAAAGAAACAAAAATATCAACCTCCAACGATCCATTTTAGAGATTTGATCCTCCTATTAAAGACCTGTATTCTGTTTCGAAGCAGTCAGATGAAATGGAAAGTAATATAAGAAATCAAAGCTTTACAAAAGTTTAACAGACCTACTTAGAAATTCACTGGTATATGAAAAGTCTATTCACCTGACCACATTCTCCAATCTCATTTTGTAACTAGTCACTTTCCTAGCCCATTCATTTTTTTCCCATTGACAAATGGAAATAACTGCCTTCTGTCTCACTATAGAATACTTTGAATATACGAAACAGGCGACTCTGCTTCTAAAAGATGTGCTTGAGCCCATGTTTTGATTACTGACCAGTGATATATAATTACATAGAGTAAAACTCTGATTTAATGTGGTTAAATTATCTACCCTTTTGTCTCAGAATAACATTCAACTTTGAGTGATTTTCCAGTCTCCTTTCAGAAAAAAAATTCAAATCCAATGTAAAATTTGACATGGTAGTTAGATGAGCTTGAAACTGATATGCTTAGGCCAGAAAAGCAATCTGGAAATATTTTTTCAGTATAAACTATCAATTATTTTTGTAAAAGAAAGGAATTTGGGGATATAATTTGAACTCTGTGAATTAGTCACACCACCATTGGTTTTAAGTACTTCTGTTAAATTGAATGTGATTATTTATCCTGGAAATAATTGAGATGTTTAAGAAACTAAGAATAAAGCCTGAGGTTTCTGGCTATAGAATGATTAACTTTACAGAGGCAGCCACTCTGATCTGTATTGGAAATCAGTTTCAGTGTAACAGCCTCAGGATTCTTTTAATTAGAAAAGCTGTTGAGCTAACAATCAAAGCCATTAACTGCTGCATAAACTCTTATTCCTTATCTCTGTCTGGATAATCTTTAAATGTTATTTATATGTTGACTTAATCAGATAAGAACTAGGTGCTAATGATGGGAAAATTCTGTTGTGTGGAGATCAAAGATATTCCAAATCTGATGGGCATGGGGGTTATATTTTTCTGGCTCAATACAAAAGTTGTCAACAGAGCCCTAATTTTACAGAGGAGAATATAGTCAACATTAATCAGACAACTTTATGTCAGTTGCTTCTTTAATGAATGAGAACTGTAGCTTAAAATGTTTAAGTCAGGCTTTGTTGCTACCATATTTGTATTTTAAAAGGCCTCTATATTTAATAGGAATGTTGACTGTTTCAGTATTTAGAGGAATTAAGTTGTTTTTAAAATTCTTCTGCATAATTTAGGTAAGTGACTCCACAGTTCTAGTCATCAGGAGCAGTATGGCTACTTGGTGTGATGTGCCTGGAGTGTGTTATGGTAGTGGGGCTGTCTGTTCTATTTGTTGTTTTGTTTTACATTTCCTTCTTTCTTTATGCACGTGTCTGTATATGGGCACACACATTACAGGCACACATGTGGAGATCAGAGGACAGCTTGAGAGAGTCAGTTCTAGGAACCAAGCTCAGGTTGTCAGGCTTGTCTGAAAGCCCTTTACCCACTCAGCCATCTTGCTGCCTCTTCTACCCTCATTTTTGGAAGCAGAGTCTCATTATTTAGACCAGGCTGGCCTCAAACTCTTGGCAATCCTCCTGTCTTTAACTTCCTGAGTGCTGGGATAACAGGCATGCCCAACCCTACCTAGATTCTTAAAATCAAAAGTTCCAGACCACCATCATTTGCCATAGGAGGCTTTTAAAAATATCTTATTATTTTTTTATTTTATGTGTATGAGTGTATTGCCTACATGTATGCGAGTGCACCCATGTGCAATGCTGCGGAGGTCAGAAGAGGGCTTCAGATTCCCCTGGAACTGGAGTTAAGGACAGTTCGTAGCTGCTGTGTGGGTGCTGGGAATCGAACCCAGGTCCTCTGCAAGAGCAGTCAGTGCTCTTAACCACTGAGCCATCTCTCACAGCCCCGCCATAGGGGATTTTATTGAATAATTTATACAGCTTTCGATTAAACACTATACCTGAAAGTTAAGTAGTCTATGGTACCACTAAAACAGTGTAATATCTTCTATAACTTGGTGGTTTGAAGCCTGTAATTTGGAGAATTTATTGCCATATTGTTGACTGCTTTTCTCTAACTAAAGGCCATGCCTTCATTTTAAACAGATGACAGGGAGAGAATAATGCATTGAGTGTATCTGTGTGGATATCAAACAGTTGGGTTGACCCCAGGCATGGATGACTTCGTCAACTTACTGCTTTTGTTGTTGTTAACACCCGTGTTGCTTCCCAGGACCTGGACAGATATTTTACACTTGATCTTAGCCGAAAGGCCGAGAAGCTATGGACGGATATTTTAAATGCATTTTCTATCGAGCTTCTTTTGCTTCTCGGGTACATTGAAAATGGGTCATATAATGTGACTGCATAGTCATTTGTTTCCTGACAGAAAGTTCTGGTGGCAAACATGCTCTCACCACCCCAGAGTACTAGGTGGGGAGTTTTTGTTTGGATTTATCAAAGATCATGGACTTTGAACAACTAGATTGAACTCTGGTTTTATTTGTTCATTCCCACATCTATACGTCAGGCAGAAACACTTGAGCGAACAGGCCCCATGAGATAGTGAGTGAGCCTATGACATAGTGGCATTTTCCCTTGTCGTCCCAGGGACCCTCTTTTTAAAGGGTACTTGTCGCTCTCCTGCTGCCTTTTCCCAAACATTTAAACAATACAGTACCAAGATTTGGGGGACTTTTTTGTTGTCTGTGGTAGTAGTTAAGTTTTGGAAGGATTGTTGTTTTTGGTACAGAGTCTTGCAGTGTAGCTTAGGATGGCCTCAAATTCATGTTGTAGCTCAGGCTAGCCTTGAATTCCTGATCATTTTACCTCAACTTCCTGAGTACTGAGATTATAATCATGCGTCACCATGCCTGGCTGGCTTTTTGTTTTGAGTAAATTTAGATGTGTACCTTTCTATAATTAAATGCTTCTCAATACTTTGGCTTTTTCTTTGGAAACAAACTAATCTAGTAGTTTATTCTCAATTGCCACTTTCAGCTGTTTTTCCTTAGTAACAGTTTCGGTGTTTTCCATCCTCTGCACAGATCTAGCCTTTTCTCTGAGCCTCCTCAGTAACATCAGGATGTACAAAAGGAGTAGCACAGTCCAGCTCTGATTTTTTTCCCCCAGTTATTTCTATTTTTCTGTATTTTCACTATTTAATACTTTGGTTAACTAAAATCAGAGGTTAAGACGAAAATGGGTTTGCTTTTAACTTTTCTTCATGCTTAAAGTAATCCTGAAATATAGAACCATAAAGTAAAACCTCACTTTCCAGAGGTAAACTAACCCCACTATTAAGTGTTCTCTGTCCTACTAGATTTTTCCATGCCATGATTATTAAACATCAAAATGCCCTTGCATATTGGTGTGTCCCATACTTCCCCTTGACTGTCACATTTACATTATTAAGTTTGCTGTGTCAGCACATGTAAATTTACCATTTTTCCTAATAACTGCCAACTTCATGGGTTTAATGCAATTTGCTGACTTATCCTCATCAGTAGTCATTTGGGCTGTAACCAGCTTTTCTTATTATATCCAGTGCTGTCAAGCACATTTTTACCTACTTGTGTTAGTATTTCTATAAAACAAATTCTTATAAATGAATTGCTAGGTCTGATAAGGTGTACACTTTTGTTTTCATATGTATGACCAAATTGTTCCTGGAAAACATTGGGCCAGTTTATGTTTACATCAGCACTGTGAGAATGAATATTCATTTCCTCACACGCTTCTCAATTCTGGATTTTATCTTTTCTAACAAGTGAAAAACTATGTCTTGTAATATTTTTATTTTCCTTGATTTTTAACCAAGATAGAATCTTTTTCATGATTTTCTGTATGAAGATTTCAAAATACTGGTTTATTTGCATTTAAGCTTTATTTTAAGGCCCCATTTCAATAGCCAGTTTCTTAGGACCACAGGCCATCATCAAATACTGAAGTGAAAAAATCTCACCCAAGTAATTCCCATGAGGAAAAGTTACATTCTATCAAAACTCTTGTTTTTTTAAGACAGCATCTCAAACTGTAGTCCAGACTAACCTGGACTCATTGTGCAGGCCAGGTTGGCCTCAGACTCACGGCAATCTTCTTCCTTAGCTTTGAGAGTGCTTTAAGTACAGGCATGACCCACCAACTCTTACTTTGGCCATATTGGCCTTTGTGTCTATTTTGTTTGTTGGTGCTTTTGCTTTGTTTTGTTGTTGAGACAGTGTCTCCCTATTGGAACTGCTGTGTAACCTGGCTGGCTGGCCTCAACCTCACAGAGATCTGCCTGCCTCTGCAT